GGAGGAGGAGGAGGAGGAGGAGGAGGAGGAGGAGGAGGACTGTGGGGTCCTGGGTGCTCTCTCAGCTGGGTGGTTTTCTTGCAGACGTTTCATGACCCAACTAGGGAACATCATCAGGGCTGGAAGAGAAGAGAGGGAGGGAGGGAGGGAGGGAGGGAGGGAGGGAGGAAGGAAGGAAGGAAGGGGGTCTTTGGTCTTCTCTGAGGTTGGTGGTTTCCTTGCAGACGTTTCATGACCCGACTAGGGAACATCATCAGTGCTGGAAGAGGAGGGAGGGAGGGAGGAAGGAAGGAAGGAAGGGGGTCCTTGGTCTTCTCTGAGCTTGGTGGTTTCCTTGCAGACGTTTCATGACCCGACTAGGTAACACCATCAGTGCCGGAAGGGAGGAGGGTTTGGGGAGAGGAGGAGGAGAGTTAGCTCGATAGTTTTCTTGCAGACATTTTGTGGCCCAACAATGCAACGTCATCTGTGCTAGAAGAGAGGGAGGCTTGCTTTCTGTTTATATACAGTGTCTTGCCAACCAAGCAGAAAACAGCGTCCCAATCAAGGAACTGCCAAAGAGGACACCAGACCCGCTCCAAAACTGGCAGGGAAACTATGTGTAAACAGAAAGCAAACCCTACTCTGAGGATGCTACTCTAAATCTTTTCTAATCCTGATGACGTTACCTAGTATAATAATAATAGTAATAGTAATAGTAATAGTAGTAGTAATAATAATAATAATAATAATAATAATAATAATTAAAAAAAAAATAAAAAAAAGTTGGAAGGACCTTAGAGGTCATCTAGTCCAACCCCCTGCTCAGGCAGGAAACCCTATACCATTTCAGTCAAAATGGCTGTCCAGTCTCTTCTTAAAAACTTCCAGTGTTGGAGCATTCACTGCTTCTGGAGGCAGGTTGTTCCACTGGTTAATTGTTCTCACTGTCAGGAAGTTTCTCCTTAGTTCTAGGTTGCTTCTCTCCTTGGTTAGTTTCCACCCGTTGCTTCTTGTCCTGCCTTCAGGCGCTTTGGAGAACAGCTTGACTCCCTCTTCTTTGGGGCAGCCCCTGAGATACTGGAAGACTGCTATCCTGTCCCCCCTCGTCCTTCTCTTCATTAAACTAGACAGACCCAATTCCAGCAGCCGTTCCTTATATGTTTTAGCCTCCAGTCCCCTAATCATCTTGGTTGCTCTTCTCTGCACTCTTTCTAGAGTCTCAACATCTTTTTTGACATTGTGGTGACCAAAACTGGATGCCGTATTCCAAGTGTGGCCTTACCAAGGCCTTGTAAAGTGGTATTAATACTTTACTTTAATAGCTGGGTCATGAAACGTCTGCAAGAAAACCACCCAGCTCATAGAGAACCAGGGACTCCACAGTCGTCTCCTCCTCCTCCTCCTCCTCCTCGTTTTGGCAAACCTCCACCCCCTTCTAGCCCTGATGATGTAAGCTAGTTGGGTCATGAAACGTCTGTAGGAAAACCACACAGCTGGGAGAGCACCAAAGACCCCTCAGAGTATGACGCTGCCTAGAAGAGAAGTCTACAGGAAGGAAAGGGGGGGGGGGCAGGTAGAATTGGAGGTGGGGGTTTGGGGGGATCCTCCAGGGGAAATTACCCGGGAGCTGAGCTTTAATGGGCATGGCTCATATTCTAGCTACCGGGTCTGCGTATGTTTTAATGTTTTGGAGGATCAACTGCTCCCCCCATTTCCCTGATGGTGGGGCCGGCCATGCCGTACCCATCCTCCTCCTCCTCCCCCCCTCCCCTTTTCCTGCAGGCGCCTCCATGTTGCAGAAGCTGATTGAAGAGACGGACAAGTTTGTGGTTTTCACCGAGGAGGAGTCGGGAGTCAGCGAGCAGCTGTGCGGGATCGCAGCGTGCCAGACCGACGACGTCTTCAACCACAACTGCCTGATTGAGCTGGTCAACTGCCAGGTCTT